ACACGCTCGTCAATAACTGCAGTAGTCTCGTGTTACTCACACCATCACCCCCACGGAATTCTTCTTCCAGCAAGTTACTCAGTTTGGAAAAATAGTAGGACATTATATCACGACTACCGTCTTACCTGTCTAGTAGTTCACTTTATCTCCAAGTACAGACTGACTTTCATAGCATACTGCAGGCTACATACGGGCACAAAACTCACGTGATTCAAAACGCATAAGAACAAATTTCTACGTCAATGAGTAACTTAGATCAAATGGTCCTTTTTGGTACAAAAATGGTATCTTTTTGATGATTTTTTAAAAATATTATTTTCTCCTATATATATATATATATATATATATATATATATATATATATATATATATATATATATATATATACATATATATATATATATACATATATATATATATATACATATATATATATACATATATATATATATATACATATATATATATATACATATATCTATATATACATATATATATATATATATACATATATCTATATATATATATATATATATATATATATATATATATATATAGATATATATATATATATATATATATATAACGGAAATAAAGCAAAATAAAAAGGACAAATCGGTCTTGTTAATTTATTAATGAAACCGTAGAGAGGGGTTTGCAACAGTTTCCCTATCCTATCATCTACATTTCGAATTTTAAACTTCTATAAGGGGTTATTTCTTTCTCTCTTACCTTGATATATACGAAACTCTAGTCTATTTCATCGATCTTCATTGTTATGCTGAAAAGACAAACAAATGTCTGGATTTTTGTATGTAAACACACGTCCCTCGGTGAACTTCAGCGGTGTAATACATTCCTTAGAAGCAGACGAAACAACCCCTAGCGATCAGCTGATAATTGTAGCCACTATCATTAAGGAGAGAGAGAGAGAGAGAGAGAGAGAGAGAGAGAGAGAGAGAGAGAGAGAGAGAGAGAGAGAGAGAGAGAGAGAGAGAGAGAGAGAGAGAGAGAGAGATTATATACCAGTTAAAGGACATCTAAGAGTCTAAGAGTTTATTTTTCATCCTACTGAATTGTGGTATAATCTCTCAGTTGTTGAATCAGGCAGGTCTTACCATGATGATTACAGAAAACAACATTAAATGATTGCAGTTGTTATTAATGGTTATTTATACTATTTGTTCTTTTCTTTAACATGGCTTTGGTTCTAATATTGCCTCATTTTAGAATCCTGGTTCAGCATACGAGAGAGCCGCGGTAATCTGGCTGGTAGTGCATTTGATGGTCGAGTGTTCCGTACCTACCCAGACTAGCTTGGGTTGGTTGCCTCAGTGTGTCCTTGGGTATCGCTTAAGAAAAAAGTAGTTCTCAGCACTGCTTATACAGAAAAGAAAAATGCAGTTCAACCAGAACACCTGCTTTAATTATGACCAATAGAAATACACGTTACATTTGCCAACTAATGTAATTGCAAATACAGCTTTCAACAGCTACTATCAGTGGAGAGCTTAATAAAACTACTGTACAATATACAGTATGGTAGCGATCAGAGATTTTACAATAGAAAGAGGATCCTGAACTAGCTGTCGTGTTCAGAAGATATACATGAAATGGGTTCAGCAAATATTAGATTCCTTACATCATTACAGCATTTCTTACAGGTAGCATTTTGTATTAATCCAACAAATTTCAGAAACTGCATGTCTTTTTAAAACGAATTTGAAGCTGTATTTATCACACAACTTATATTTCTGCGTTACTCATTGACGTTATGTTGTGTCGTTACGTATCACGGTGTGACACACACTTTTACGATATTACGTTATGACGCTGATAAACGTCACAATTATATGGCAAAAATCTTTTAGAATTGTGTACGAGAAATCATCTGTTTTGCCGAACGAACCCTCCTTCAGTAATGCTGAAGTCATTTTGAATTGGGCCAACAACACTTAGTAAATTAAACGTTGATTTACAAAAAAAAAATGAACATAAAGAAATATGATTAATTGTTCATTTCATGAACAAGACATAACTTTCACCGGTCGGTTGGCTCAGTGTTGGGCATTATATATATATATATATATATATATATATATATATATATATATATATATATATATATATATATATATATATATATATATATATATATATATATATATATATATATAAGAGATGTTGAGTTTAAATTTGATTAAAATGTAGAAATTAAAATAAAAATTATGCTTAAGCTTTTTAAGTGATGGATATGCTCTGCAACCTTTTTGCGTGCGTAACTTAAGACATTTTTAAGTTTGTAAACGACAGCCTCGCCATAACAAACATTTTCTTTCAACCAGCTCTGAACAAAATCACGACGATACATACACACATACATACATACATACATGCATGCATGCATGCATGCATGCATGCATGCATGCATGCATACATGCATACATACATACATACATACATACATACATACATACATACATACATACATACATACATACATACATACATACATACATATATATATATATATATATATATATATATATATATATATATATATATATATATATATATATATATATATATATATATATATATATATATATATATATATATATATCTTATCCAGGAATATGTATCTTTTAAATCCACCTGAACTAAGTGCTGCTCAGGGCGTAGACCAAATTCCTCTGTATATTCATCAGTGTCAAGTGAAACCGTCGTTGCAGTCAACCCAAAATCAAATGCAGGTGATTCAAACGTATGTGTCCTTTGGCAGTGGAAAACACATTAAGAGAAATACCAAATTGTTGCAATTGTGCTCAAACAAAAATTTATCTCACCTTACCGCACAACTAACATGGATCCACTATCTTGTCAAAATGTCATTTAGACCGTTTGTGACACCACATCTAGTGTTCAAAATAAGTCCATGGTGCATAAAATCCTGATTAGCCTAACTGACATTTCGGTGCCTAGGAAACATTCCGGGGCAGAAAACATCCCGTTTATTTCTCATGCTCGGGCTTTAAAAACAATGACGCGTTTGAAACTCGGGAACGAACTTAATTTACGATTTAGGATACAAAACACTACTATGGGTATCTTGCATTTTTCAAACAGCGAGGTCATGTTAGCCTGCAAGTCATTATAACTGTATAAAGATCTCACGCTGCCGAATTTAACATTTGGATATATCGGCATCTTTCGTGCTGCTCGAAATAGGTTACCCGGTTCCATTTCAGCTCTGATAATGCTGTATCCATCAGTTAAAATATGTAGAAAACTCGTTAAGTGCCTTTTCTCTATACATCCTGTGTTCAAAATTTTTTTTACCAAAAATAACGCATAAAATAGCATGCATTTGTGCATGTATTAGTGCTAGCGGAACGCCAACACAATAAAGCAAATTTCAAAAAGTTGTAAATATAAAGAACTGGATTAAAAATATTTAGGGTATAGAACAGACAATTAAACAATTTAATGTTTAAGCTTGCAGAGATAGTGATGTCATAGTAAAATTACAGACATTTTTGTTTCAAAAAGAATTACCACAAGGTCAAACTAATGTTACATGAAGGAAAATTGTTAATAACGTTATATGGAAAAACAGTCCGTGGCATATTTCAGTGTCTGTACTAGAAACATCGTATACACTATGTAATCAATCATTTATGGTACATATTTGTCCAAAAGAGTCAACCAAAATGATTGATATTTGGCCTGAATTTACAACAAAACGCAATAATTTATTTCATCATACACTTTAAATCGCTCTTTTTTCCCCTTCAAAATAAACTGAGTCGTCCATATTGGTTGGTAAGACGATGCATAAGGTATAGCAGTTTTATTTAGGAACTTGCGACTCGCAGATGGCAGCTTGATTTAGAATGTATTCAAAGACAGATCAATAACTGGAGTTCATACCCAGCAGTGTATGGAGTAACGACGAGGGTATTTAATACACAGGTATGAGGTTACGATGAGGGTATTTAATACACAGGTAAGGGTAAGGATGAGTGTATTTAATACACAGGTATTGGGTTACGATACCGATCTGGTGGCCTAGTGATTAAGGCATCAGCCTCGGATGCAGTAGGTCATGGGTTTCTAACTCCGACAGAGTCATGCCAAAGACTAATGAAAATGGTACTAACAGCTGCCTTGCTAGGCGATCAGCATTAAGCGGTTAGTGTTAGGACTGGTCGGCCTGGTATCACGATAATAAAATTAGATGGGACATCATGCTACATGTCTGCGGCATGATGCAACAGTGCTAGACATCACTATAAACTGCCACACTGCAGATATCGTAGCGATATGACTGCAAAACTGTTAAAGCTACATTAAAAATCCAAAACACACACACACACACACACACACCGATTTACAGGTAGGGGGTTACAATGAGATATCTCGATTGACTTTAAGGCCCTACTCGACAGCTCAGAGAGTTCGTTTTAAGATACATAATGCGTATAGATACTTCCCGATAATGTCACTAGCAGACGATATTCTGCCCATTTTACCTGAACGATGGGCAACTTGGCAGTTTCTACTATATGCGACTACCAAACTTAAAATAATTTGAACAAGGCACACTGAAGCAGAATCAACTTATAAATTACAAATATAGATACTAACAGAAAACCTGATTTGCATTCTGTATGTATGCATATTTTGTAACAGTATCTTGAGATTCAATAAATTTATTTCAATTTCATAACACCATATAAACTAAGCGATAAAACTTCATGAATATCACAAATGTGATTATATGTGATGTAGCTTTAACAAATGTTCAGTCATATCGCTACGATGTCTGCAGTGTGGCAGTTTTTAGTGATGTCTAGCACTGGGGCATAATGCCGCAGATACGTAGCATGATATCCAACCCAGTCACGTTATCCTGACACCAGGCCGACCAGTTCTAACACTACTTATTGCTGAGCGCCAGGCGAGACAGCTGTTAGTACCATTTTTGTAAGTCTTTGGTATGACTCGAAAAGAGATGGAACCCGCGATCTCCCGCATCCGAGGCGGACGCTCCAACCACTAAGCCACCGAAGCGGTTTATATCATAAATGTGGCGGATGATGACGTTATTTGGGAATTCTCTATAGGAGTTTGAGAAAGACAGGTTCTTCGTCCAGAGAGTGCACAACCTTTTTTGATGTTATATACTAGATTTCATCGCGTGCCTTTATGAAAATGTATTTAACTGTAAAACGTCGGCACGTGCATATTTTTAGCAAGTGCAAGATTTTTGTGCAAAATAATTTTGAAAGATATAAGACCAATTTATTTTTATAGCGTGAAGTTGTATGTTGAAAAATTAGTTTTATTATCACTAACTACAATCTTTTCTTTCCGTCGTTGATAACTGGAAAACAACGGAGGATAACGACAGCTGCACACTATTTCCAGGCACACCGTTTGTAAATTGCTTGCTTATCCATTTCATATACATGTCACTTAGTTTGTCAAGTGCATGTTATCCAAATACTTCTTTACGCTTATAGATCAGAGTTGCACAAGCTATCATAAATTTCACCAATATTTAGCCATGACCTGACATGAAAAAATTGCACCCTTTGAAGACGATTTCCAACTAGACAGACATTTGGCTCCACAATTATCAAATCACATAAATTTATGTATTTCATCATGTTACATTTATTTTGATTCTACTTGACCTTGATTTCTGACAAAACCAGATAAATTTGTGAAATCAATCGGAACGCCTCTCGCCTTTTCAGTCCGAGTTACACTGACGGCATGAGCAGAGTTTTAATTCTTTGTATGATCTGTCAAAATTTTCGAAACACAGAACTGTAGCTCAAATATCGTTCTCAAAATACATCTTGTGTCTTCAGTTTTCATCTGATATCAATAAACGCTAGACTGTAGCAGTGAATGGAAAATATTCGATTGAAGAAAAAGAAAATTTTGTTTTGTGTATCAGATCGGTGCTGACTTTCAAGTCATTTATATTTTTCCTTTTTTTACCGAAATTGGAGAAGGATTTATACAACCATTTGAAATTGCAACAGAAGTCAATCATCGATCTCGTCTGTCGCTAGAATGCGCGAGTGCAGTATGGAGGTTTCTTGACTGGTTCTCTGCTTCAACAGTCTTTTCAAATAAGAACATCTGGGCACGGTTTCACAATATAACGTACGTCCAAGATTTTCTTAAATTTTAACGTATGATATTCGTACTTGATTACGTGTGTTCAGGGTCGACAAGAGGGAAGGGGGCAACCGGAGATATATCCCCTGGTCCCAATAACACTTTTTTATTTTGTGAAAGAAAAAATTTGTTTGAACAAGAACTAGGAGATTGATGCACGGATATTTCTTTTCCCTGGGCCCGTGAACGCTCTCTACGGCCATGCGAGTGTTTCACTAATAAGAATGACGTACGTTTCGTATGCACGTAAGTTTCCCTTACAATTTTACGTAACATTACGGCAAGTGCCAGGCAGCCGCAAGTGGCCAGTTCTCACTTTCACAAGTATGTTTGTGGAGGTAAGAGAGAGAGAGAGAGAGAGAGAGAGAGAGAGAGAGAGAGAGAGAGAGAGAGAGAGAGAGAGAGAGAGAGAGAGAGAGAGAGAGAGAGAGAGAGAGAGAGAGAGATGCGTCCTGACATTCCAGTATATACAGTGTAGAGGTTTTTCTCTAACAAAACTGGTTTAAAAACATATTTATAACGTTTTATATATAAAAAGTATGGAAACATGAATATGTGTATGATACATTTAACTTTGTTGATTATCACGATAATCAAATCGTCGCATCCTTAAGAAAATGGAATTATTTAATGTTGTAATAAGACTAATGATTTAAAAAAAATTAATGCAGACTGTTGCCATTAGATAAAATAAGTACGTGTCAGTTGAAAGAAGAAACCAAAATTTATGAAAGTGATATTTGTATCACTGAATTATATATATATATATATATATATATATATATATATATATATATATATATATATATATATATATATATATATATATATATATATATATATATATATATATATATATATATATATATATATATATAATGGCAAGTTAAAAAGCCTTAGATAGAATCATCCACAAAATTTGTAGTTCCAGCTGGATCTTAACACTAAATTTCATTTCGACACAACGATTCCGTGGTGAGATAAATAAATTATTTCCTCATTTTATGTTCCTATTTCCACTGAAATTGCCAGTATGCACAATGATTCCATAGACTTACAAGTACTGTGATTAAATAATATCGCTGCTTGCATGTAAACCTAAGCAAACTGTTATTATAGCAAGTTAGGAGATGTCTATGTATTCATCATGTAGAATGTGACCATGCGGTGAACTGTACATGATAGCAAATTTCGATTAAAATAATTCAAACCCAGATGGCTCTTCACAAGAATACACATAATTCTGCTGATACTTGTTATCACACAGCGGGACAATCACTCGAACAGTGGCAGAAAATTGCAGCAAATTCCGGTGCTTAAAAATTAAAACACTAATTACATTGATATCTCAATAACATCAAATTCAGGATTCTATTTCCAGCTTGTAGTTGTCGGCAGAAGAACTGTGCTCTTACTTTTTCTTAAATAATTGTAGTTTGCTTACTCACTGTATTGATTTTAATGTTTTAGTATCAGTCTGTGCAATGTCTCTTTTCAACAGTTTAATTGTATACTCTTTCAATTAGGACATTCAGACATCTCGAAACAATAGCTCTTGACTCGTTGTTTTGTTTTTTTTTTTTTCATAGAGCTTTTCGATGGCATTTTGTTATCCATATATGAAGTTTTTTTTAAAGTGTGCTGGTTTGCAATAAGAAATGTGACAAAAAAATCACAAAAAGATGAAAAAGAAAAAATGCATCTTTTATTAACATCTACGTTAACAAATTAATATTCAATCAACGGAATGAATACACTTTGGTTTGTTTAAATGCTGTTTAAAAAAGAAAATTAAAATGATTATCTTTTCAACGGAATTTATATTCCTCGAAATCAGTGATGATTATATACGATACTTTCACTTGTCTATGTATTATCTCGATTTTATTAAGATAGAAATGATAAAATGCGAGTGGGCACAATATATAGGAATATTAAACTACTCAACTGGAGACTTCATGACGCGTGCATGTGTGTGGGCCTGTGGGGGCCTCTGTGTGTGTGTGTGTGTGTGTGTGTGTATGTGTGTGTGTGTGAGAGAGAGAGAGAGAGAGAGAGAGAGAGAGAGAGAGAGAGAGAGAGAGAGAGAGAGAGAGAGAGAGAGTTTTGAGACATAACTAAATGAATCTATATCACATCCCACTATATACAATGTAATTGTATTCCAAGGTTTAGCAAGCCTAAATCAGGGAGGGACTGTTAAAAAACAAATTAATATTTTTCTTCAGATGTTGTTCTTACAATGCAAAAAAAAAATAACCAAAACTTAAGTCAAAATCCAACTGAAAAATTATATTTCTAATATTGCGATGAATATCATAAACGTTCGGAAGGTTTTTAGCTGACACAAAGAATTGTATCAAATATCATATTTACCTGCTCGTCTATAATGGTCGACTATGTTGGATTGTCTTTGGAAATAACAGGATGGGGACTTTGAAGTATACTCATGTACTTTAAAAAAAATAAAAGTCGATAAATATAGTAAAGCGATCAGGTAATCACTTGGCTATAAATAACTAAAGAAGAATGGCTTGACCACTTCCTTCGAAAGTAAGTTAAATTATGTGTATTCATCGACTTCTCATACACACACATACACACGCACATACGCACATACACAGAGTTAGTTCTCCCAGCAGGCAGTCAAGCAACTTTTTCAGGGCGTACAAAAGTATAAAAATCTGGATTTGTAAAAATAAAATCCTTTAAATAAAATAGTTGTAATTTCTATATCATGTAAAGAGGTAAAGATCTTTAAAGGGTTTAACTTTAAGGTTTTAATTTGGACAGGGTGAGGGGTGCTGCATCTCTGACATTGGAACTTTGACAGTGCCTGGACACGGCAAAATCATAGATATCACACACACACACACACACACACACACACACACACACACACACACACACACACACACACAGAGTTACTGTTTTCCAAGAAGCCAGACAAGGCAACTACCTAATGAGGACAAAGTTCAGGCAGCGACAGATTTTAAAGTTCGAAAATCATGAATTGTAAAAGCTAGTTAATATTTGTATATTATTTAAGGGCGTGCAGGTCTTAAAAGGCTCCGTCTTAAGGTTTTAATTTGGACATGGGGAAGAAGCTGCATCTCAGACCCTGGCAACTCTTACATAGACACCGCAAAATCATAGAGCCTAAACACACACACACACACACACACACACACACACACACACACACACACACACACACACACACTTCTCCCTATCTTCTTTCATCATAAATCATACCTTTATTTAATTCAATATGACCAATAGGTCAAGCAATATTTTGCTAGATATTTTATGGATCACTGAATTGTTTTTGTTGCTCTTGTCGTTATCTTCATCGCAGTCCTTTTGCATATGGCCTGTTAAATTGTCTGATTTATTATCCAATTCACATACCAAAAAAAAAATAGCCTTCACAATTTTTTTTTCTTAAACGAACGAAATTTTCCTGTAAATATGAAATACACTTACGAAATAGCACAAGATATTCTTACGTTGAAAATTTAAGAAGACCGTGAATTTCGTTGCTTCGTGAAATGGGGCCCTGATAAGGAAAATCTAGAGGATCTGCAGTGAAGACTGTACGGTCGTATTTTACATCAGAATCTTGTAACGATATTTCTCCCAATTTTTTTTTTTTTTGAATACTTGCGCTGTGGAACACTCTTATGTAATCTCCAAGTTACTGCTAATTTTGTACAGATTTAGGTGGTTATGTTTTGGCTGTATCATGTTGTATTTCACTATTCGTACAGAAAATGAGGCATGAACAACTTTCACAAAATGAGATATATTCCTTATTTTATGATTACAAAAGAGTTCAGCAGCTGTATTACTGCTCGGATATTTCAACATTTAACCTG